CAGCATCTGGGAATGTGAGCAGGAGATCTATACATTAGAATCAATGCCACTAGACAAGCATATGAATTATTAGTAACTGGAAATTCCTTACTGAGAGGCACTGAAGTACCTGTTTGCTCTCCAGACAACTTCTCTGGCGAAGCTGGATGCCTATCAGCAGCTTGTCTTTGTCATAATAATACTACTAATACTATTAAAACTAATGCTGCTACTATAATAATAATAATAAAAACAAGAACAATTGAAAAAAGCTGAAGAAGCAGAAGAAACAGAAAAAGCAGAAGCTAAAACAGAAGCGAACGATGATAAAGCAGAAGGAGCAGAAGCAGCAAAAGGAGAGCTTTTACAGGTACATTGGCCCAAAAAGGAAGACTAAATAAAATGTACAGAGAAAGCAGTCCTGCAGAGAAGAACTTGAGGATACTGGTGAATTACAAATTGGACATGACCCAACAATGTGTGCTTGCAGCCCAGTAAGCCAACCATATCCTAGGCTGCATAAAAAGAAGCATGGCCAGCAGGTCAAGAGAGGTGATTCTGCCCCTCTACTCTTTTGTGAGACTCCATGTGAAGAACTGCATCCAGCTCTGGTGCCCCCAGCACAAGAAAGATACGGACTTCAGAGTGTATTCAAGGGAGGGAGACCTTGTTGCAACCTTGTGTTATATAAAGTGGGCTTTTAAGAAAGATGGAGAGAGACTTTCCGCCAGAGCCTCCACTGACAGGACAAGAGACAACAGTTTTAAACTGAAAGAGGGTAGATTAGATTGGACATAAGGAAGACTTTTTTTTTATGATGAGGGCGATGAGACACTGGGACAGGTTGCCCAGAGAAGCTGTGGATGCCCCATCTTTGGAGGTGTTCAAAGTCAGGTTTGATGGGGCTTTGAGCAACCTGGTCTAGTGGAAAGTATCCCTGCCATGGCATGGGGGTTGGAACTAGATGATCTTTAAAGGTTGCTTCCAACCCAAACCCTTCTATGATTCTGTGAATGTTAGGGCTCAAAGTTCTATTTCACAGCTGATGGTAGTTCAGAGTCTATGCTGCTGGAATTCTTCCTTTCCAATTTGCAACAGCAGTTAGGTAGGTCTTCCAGAAAAAGAAATAGAAAATTCCATTCTCAATCTTGGGGCATTTATATTTATGATAAATTAATTTTAGCTATTTTGTTTTTGGATATCTTGTAGTTATTCTTTTGGGAGCTATGTATATCTTTTATATTTACTTGCTTGATGCTTTTGTCTTTTGTGTCTTTTGTTGGTTTATTTCAACTTTTAAGAATATGTAGTGTAACATCTAAAAGAATTGCAATAGCTATTAAGAATTACTATTTTGCAAAATGACAGGTAAGATTTCAGATTTTGTAAAAGCCATATTGTTTTACAAAGCAGTTACGAAATGCTTTTCAGAAGAACAGCTGCCAATATGGCAGGAAAATGTCCAAAAAAACAGCTGCCAATATGGCAGGAAACTGTCAATATGCCAGATAGTTCCTCTTAGCAGATGTATTAACACAGGGTGAAATTCGCTGTAGAGATGCAAAGCTTTTTCTTTAGTGTCATGAAGGCTGGATTTATACCGTGTCTTATTTTGACTACAAGGCACTCAATCTGTGTGGTTTTTTGTCAGTGCTTACAAATCTGATGTGTTATGGCGACAATACGGAGTAGCTGATCTCAGTTGATTGTTTTGTGGATAGATGTAAAAACTAACAAGCTAGAACTTCCAAAAAGATAAATGTAATGATTGATACCAAGTCTTGCTACAAATGTCTAGTTTGCTCAGAGGATCACTGTATATACAATGGGTTTAAAAATCACAGAATCACAAATATGTTTTAAATCGAGTATTTCTGAGTAGTAGTAATGCGTTTTACTTGACTGTTATGGTTAAATAAATCAAATTTAATGGTGACCAAAAGTAGGCTTTATTTGAGTTGACTTAAAACAATTCCAAGTAAAGATAAAAAGATAATACCAAAAATGTAAATTCAGCATTGATATTTGGACATATTCTACTTTTTTTTACGTAACTTAAGAAATCTGCTATGAAAATGTGTAGCTATTTTACTTCAGTGTCACTTTGAATTTATTAAAGAAAAATAGTTTTATTTTTTTTTTAGAGGAAGTGTGTGCAGTAATTTTGGCTTTCTATTGCTGTTACTCTGATTTGCCTCATTGATCAGCTGGGTCAATCCCAAAGTTAGCAATTGCTTAGATTAGATTAATTTGACCAGCATGGAAGTGACCCTTTTAATCTTTGAGCTGTTGGAGGGCAATAGTGGATAGATGATTGAATAATAAGTATGATGGACCTTTTTAGACTTGGTTGTCGTGTTATTAGAGAAACTTGGATTAATGCTTTGATTCCAAGGATTGTCAGAGTGCTAGACTCTTTCTCTTAACAGAGATATGCACTTGTCACTTTTTATGAAGAATAACATTTGTGAAATCCAATAAACAGGTTTAGACTAGGTGGATTAGTCTGAAAACGGTTCCCCAGACAAGATGGCATCCTGGAGAAGACTGGACTCTCTGCAAGGAAGAGTACTTACCACATGTGCTCTGTATTGCATTACACATCCTACGTGCACTGCCAAAATTACAGTTGAAAGTGCCATCTTAACTTTAGCCTGATGAGAATGTTTAATGATGCATTAAGATCATTTTAGTAAATCTGATAGTTTAACATTTTTATTAATCACAAACATGCAAAATTTATACCTGAAAGTTTTACCTAATTAAGAGATGCATCTTGTCTGCATAGCAGATGAATTGGTAGCCATAGTATGTGTCAG